TGAACTTTTAATATAAATATTAAAAGTTTGTTGTTATGATGAAAAATATTTTATAAAGTTATATCTTTAAAGAAAAGTAATTATTATTTTCAAGTATAAAAATAAATAGTTATATTATTGAACAAAGGTCAAATATAGGGTCGTATTTACCAATAAGCAGAATGGATAATTTTATGAACCTTTTTTTTTTTTTTTTTTTAGAATAACACTTTTATCGTATAAAATAAATATAAACAAAGTAAAACATTTTCAAAAAAAAAAAAATCAGAGCAAATACTACATTTGTAATTTACCTAAAGACCTCTAAAGTCTAAATCAGGCCTAGATAGATAAATAAAACGGTAAGTCAATTTTTTATCGACTCGATGTACCTACGAGTTATAAATAGGATACCTACTATAACTTAAATAAAAAAAATAAACTTAACATCATCATAATATGTTCTGTTTAAGTATAAATTTACCATAATAATAGCTATTACATCACTTTTAGACTGCGCTGATATATAAATAATGAGTAAATCTAAACTGATCTTCTTTTTACCATATTACATTCGTAATGTAATAATGTGAATAATTTACAGTTTTTCTTTCAATCACCAAAATTGTAATCCTACAAAATAAACTATTTTTCTATTTAATTAATACAACGATACTGAATAAAACGACTTGAAATCAAATCTAACCTCATGTTAATACACGTTATAGGTACAAAAATATACACATAATGGTTCCTACTAATTGGTTTCGCCCTTCGTAAATGTGACTCGTTGTTAATTTTAAATTAAATTTAATTTAATTTTAATTTTAATTTCATAAGTATCACGTGCGGTAGATTCTTGGTAATTCGAAATTCAAGGAACCGAGCTAAAAAAATTCCATTTATAGACATTATCGATTTAGCGAGATTTCAAAAAAAAAAAAAATAACTCGAATTAAGGAGAGTTGAATACTGATTTCCACATGGTATTTATTATTTTATTTAATTTACATTCATTATACATTAAAAATACATAATGCATAAATCTATTTAGTTAAATATGATAAAAAAATCAAAATTATACTATTATAATATTTAAGGAACACACAACTACGATAGTATACCATTGGTAATGTTATTTTTCGACAATAAAATTACCTATGTTTTCTTATTGAATACGAATACGTGGTTTAAACCATGTTTTTAATCCAATTAGCGGAAGCTTATGGACAATTCAAATTTTAATTACTGCTCATATAAAGAACAATAAGCGAATGCTCATGGCATAATGTTTGTGAAGTACAATATCATACTATAATAATTGATAGCGTATAACAATATTACATCAGGTAAATGAGTTGTGCGATCCGGCAATTATGGGCACGATTAAGAGTTAAATCTCAAACAGTGATTACAACCAGCTCGTTGATCAAAGGAAACGCAGATGTGTTCACGGATGTACCCGTGTAACACGACAGAATTGAATAAAAATAATGTTTTTGGCACGAACTTGGTGGGCGATATGATTGAGCACAAAAACGAAACGGAAAAGTCATTCGCGCGCGTACGTAATAATATTTAAAACCATTCGACGACGACAAATTATGATTAACGATTAACATCGCTGCGGAGAGTTTACGGATAAGTGCGATGCACGTTCCGAAAACGGAATTCGACCCGTTAACAACTGCAAACAATATTGCTGCCGCGACGATATTGAAATCGAAGGACTGCGAAAGTTCGTTGAGAAGGGAGTGACGGGATGCATCGTCGTCCATCGGCATCCGTGTAATAAAAGGGCGCCCGGCAATCAGCATCGTTTCAGACCGTTTCGCTTGTTGCGATTATTTTAATACAACGCTACTTGCGTAATACCATATATTTTCCGTATGAAAGTAGGCGTGTAGCCCTTTCGTCTCCGAACACTCCGATGACAGAATTATGTCCGGTATAATTGTTATTATTTCGCGGTTGCAAGTATTCGTAGGACGACTATGTACATGACGTAAATACGTTTCCATCGCGCGTGTACCGTTTTCAGTCGGAACGAAATAAAAAATAAATACTCGTTCACCGCGTCGCGTATCAGTGCGATCAGTACGATGATTATCGTAATAGTTATAAGTCGTCAAGCGCCGTCAATAGTTACGCAGCCGGAATGATTAAGATTTGTAAACATTGTATCGAAGAGTAGAGTTATTTTGTATGTTCTGAGTCCATTTTTGACAGGGACATTTCAAAAATGTTTCCAGGTCAGACTAAGCAAAATTACCAACGGTTATCATACTCATAATTTTCATGTAAATATTTTCGATAAAATAAAAAATTGAATATACCAACAGAACTTTTTTTGTAAATAAGTATTTAGGAACTGGACTTTTGGAATTCTTGGAATTTTGGACTCGGTACATACATGTAGATTTTTTAAAAAATTATAAGTGCGGTAATCGTTGGTCATTTAACCTCGTATAACTTGGACAAATATTTGAAATTTCCCCGTAAAAAATTAACTCAGAACATATAAAATAACTCTACTCCAAAGTCTCTTTAGATGATTGTTGAACAACGTAAAATACTCTCTGGGACGAAATCTCTAAGACATTAGTTTCCAAGTGCAATACGTTAAAGTTAATTAAGATAAGTTTATGATATATCATTTGTGTAGATAAAGTTCTTAGGTAGGTACTGTTACTTTCTTCAAAAACATAAAATATTATGCATAGTTTTTAAAAAATAAAAACTCAATAATTTCAATTAATTACTATAACAAAACAATTTCAGATTTAGTTCAATTACACACATATGATGTAATATATACGTATTAAATATTTTGCATTTACGTGATCTCTATCCTTCGGTCGAATATGCCGTTATTTCCGACGATATGTTTTAATGCATAAATGAGTTTTATAAAATATTATACATACATCGCAAAATCTGTTAGTCAAATGATTTTAATCGTTTTGTGTAATGTAATTTATATTAGAATGAGGTTGATCAAAATATTTACGTTGCCGTGTTTAATATGAATGGAAATCAATGTTTCTTTAGCCATGTCAAAACTATAAGATCACTATTATTTCTCGAGACAATGATGGAGCGATATTAAATGACTTCACATAGAATAATTTTTAGAATGCAATAACAATTGCTTTCTATTTCAAATGTAAATACCTACACCTATGCATTCGAATGTCTAATTGAACGAGTGAAATATTTTACTAATTTCATTATTATGATAAACGTTATAGCATAAGAATATTTTGACAATTTTGTAAGAAAAGGCATTTTTGCGGCACATATTCATAAAAACATAATGATTCCACAAGATGGTAAAGATGTGAAACTTTGAGTTCTAGAATAAATTAATTTTCATCAAACAATAAAATGCATAATACCATTATTTGAAATTACAATTAAAAAACCAAATAACTTGTGTAAAAAGATAAATTCATGAAAGCTCTTGACACGTGTCTGAATCATTCAAGTAGCACAGTTATTTCTGTAAAATAGATACTCTAATAATTTGGATAAATTTAATTGAAAAATAAAATTATAGTTATAAACTAAAAATCGTTTTAAATCTATGAAATTGGAAAACAATATACATATTAAGTTTAAAAGGCTTTAGCGAAGCGTATTTTTGGTTTTTTTGCATCACTATTAATAAATATAATTGATAATTTTTACAATAGAAAAAAAAATCGGAAAAATTGAATTATATTTTTACTCATAGGATACATTATTAGAATATGAATATCTGTATCTAAACTCTGTATATGTATTTTATCATTGTGATTGAGTGTATAAATTAAAATTTTCAACAAAAATTAAAATTAAAATAAATGGATAATTGAATATGCAACAATCTAGATTACAAATGTTACGATAAAATAATTAATTCTATAAGATACGTCTGATCCATTCAGTAACTTTCATTTCATTACTATAATATGTATTCTATTAGATACATTACCTTTTCTCACAACCATCATATTTTATATACAAAGTATCGTTGCAACAAGAAATTTCATAATTTTATTTTTAAGAGTATAAACTATATGTATAAGGCTTTAACTAGATTGTTGTTGTTATCTATATACTCTATACTATGTTGTATATACATTTTAGGACCAAAAAGAATATTCCTATAATTTTTTTTTTTTTACGCATTTCAAAAAATTGCCTATAAAAATAAAATGTATAGTTGATACATTTAGGTTAAAATTTTTTTTATAGTTTTAAATTTCTAATCGTCTAAATTATAAATATTTATAGTATATATCACATAACCACACTGTTGTTAAATTACATTTGTACACACAATTGGTAAAAAATTGATCTATAATATCACAATATGCAAAGTTCTTGTAAATTTAAACAAATTTAATAAAAAAAATACCTTAAGGTTTGATTAAAACAAATGAAACGTATTCTATAGTAATTTAAAATACTTTGCAAAAAATGAGCAAATTTACTTCATATATAATAGCAGGATATTGAGAAATCTTTTATATTTATCTATTATTTTATTATTGTTATTATAATTACTACTATAAGACATGTGTGATATCCATCACTTAAGTAGATACCAAATGCAGTCAATATAATATAATATTATTAACCTTTATAAAAACGACAGTAATGTAGTATTATATTCGAGTAGAATTGTTAATTTTTTATATAAATATTTGTTTTTTTTTAACTTGACAAAATCTAAGTGTAATATTATACCAACTCATGGTTTAATTGGTCGTTAGTTTTTGCTCCTTTAAGTAAGTTTAAATTCAATGTTAATAAAACATAAAAAAAGATTAAAAAAATGTCTACTTTTGTTAAATATTTTATTGTATAACCTGCATGAATATACACAGAACATTGATAAAGGTATGATAACTATTGAGTTTTCGTATTTATTAGAAATATACCTGAAAAAATGAAAGTGTTGCCATAACGTCTTTAACCACTCCACCAAACGCACATATTTCAAGAGATGGCGATATAAAACAAACGTCTGAGAATTGCATCCGACCAATTGTGAATGTGAATGTGAAGAAGAACATTGTTTTTCAACTGTATAGTTTGTTTTTAATACTTAAATTTATTAAGCATTTAATTAAATAGTGTTTATAATACTTGAAAATACAGCAGTTTCGAGAAATTTCCAAAAGGTAAGTAAACATTTTTAAGATGAAAATTCAAAATTACTTAGAAACTGCGTATTAGAATAACAGATACCGTGATACCGTGATATAAGAGATCTAGAACTCGTTCATCTACATATTTTAAACTTTGGTTTGAAAAAAATATTTGAATATTTAAAATAATTGGAAAAAAAAACCCAAAATTAATACGATCAAAAATAAATAGTTTTATTTAAATTATTTTATTTATGAAATGTAGATAACCGTAAAAAATATTTTGTATCAACCACAAGAAATTTTTTTTTTAAATATTACATACGAGGTTGATATATTTCACAATTATAATTCAATAAAATATTTAGCATCGTAATAAATATACACAACATCTCATCAAACTTAATATTATAATATATATTGTACTTTGTAATTTTTATATTTAAATAACATAAAATGTAAAGCAAAGAGTACCAAAGAATTATAAACATCAGTCCGGTATATATATTTACCATATATTTATCATTAATATATAAATTCGTATTCAAAATAACTGATGTTTAATATTATTTGTTCATATAAAAAATATCAAATACCTAATTTGTTATAATTATAATTATATTGATGAAATGTATGTTTTGTTCAAAAAATCACAATATGCGTTGATTTGAAATTGTTGGTTTTGAGATTTTTTTTTGTAACTGGTTTGGTGCTTTTCTGTTACATATTTTATTAATTTAAAATAAAAATATTGTTTTTAATCGCAATAATAATAATAGGTATAATCATAATATAGCTTAATTGGATTAATCACTGCGTTTAATAATTTAAAAAAAAAAACATGTTTAAATATATTTTAAATGATTTTATTTTTCGTTTCAACTTTACCTCATTCGTTTTTTCTCAGTTTTATATTGAAATTGTATTATTTCTTTATAACTTTTCCTTGACCATAATATTCAAAATATATCTATCAAAATTTTAAACCACTTTGTTAACCTGTTTAATAAATAACACATTTAACATTGAAAATAATTTCTATCAAAAAAATATTTTCTTACATGTGTATTTAATTGATGAAATCATCATACTTAAACTTTTACGGTTTTATTTTTAAATGACACGAATTAAGTGAACACGCTCGTATCATTTTTTAATTTCCATTTAAAGTTCTAAAAAGTTACAACTGTTTAATAATTAATTTACTTTTGGTTATTAATAAAAATTGATATGATTACTTTTATTTTATCACATCTAAGAAAGTATATTTTTAAAAATGAATAAACAAAAAATATATTAAATTTAAATTAAAAACCAGCATTTCATTAAACTTAAATATACATAATAAAGTAATAAGGTCATACACTAACTATTCACATAGTAGTGTGTAAATATTTTGTCAATCAAATACAGTTGTAGTGATATTCTATTTAACCTATGTACACATTGTTTCACAAAGTTCGTGTATCTATATAAGACCTTGGGACATCACAATCAAGTGATTTAAATAATTAAATTAAGCCAAATTTCATAAATAATTTATTAAATGTATTATTAAAACTCATATGAATAGGTTAAATGATGGTACTGTAATTGTTTACAGAATAATTACGAACAAATGTTTAATTATTCAGTTTCCAATTTAAGATTTAACGACACGTATAGCTTCTTAAATAAACAATACATATATATTTAAACTCAAAATAATAAAAATTATAATGATTAAAATATTTTCTGTTCCTTTTAAGGAAAATATGTTTAATTTTACTTTGAGTCTAATGTTCTGTATACTTTTCTATTAAGTGTTCATGATTTTTTCCGTTATCCGCTGGAACTGTTTCTAATCAGCTGTTGGGTCTGAATGTTATTAAATGTAATCAAAATTCAACAAAATTATTTAGTATTATAAGATATTTTGTAAAATCAAAAATTTTAGAAAGACATCATGATGGTCATCTATGGATTAGAAAACAATAATTATAAATTATTGGAACGGAAAAATGATTTACGACAAACCTTAAGAGTATTATTGTGTAAGCGATTTTTTTTTTTATTCCAATAAAAAACCAGGATGGCCAAAAATTCCATTTAATTTTCGTAATTTCCGATAACCTCAAAATGGTTGGTTATTTAAATTAATTAAAATTATCAAATTCTATTGGAAAATTGGAAAATTTTACCTCTCTCGGATATTGCAGTTCGATGAGATTTTAAATTCAAAAAAACTCTTTAACCACCGTTCCATACTAAAAACAACAAGGTACATACATGTTAAATAAAAAAACACGCAATTGTAAATCCCATTTATTATATACGCTTCACTGGACATCCGTAGTACAATTCTACACAACAAGTTTCAATTTAATAATACTAACCTCTATAAAATATCTATAAAATTTTATCGTGTAATTCGTTTGTACATTTTATTTGTTTGTTCGTGTATTTATTATTTTAATATTATGCACGAAATAATTTTTACCATTTTTTTACGACACATTTATATCATTTAGCTTTCGTGACATACTCTACCATGTATATTACTATGGAATATTCGGATTTAATTTTCATTAAATATCATCAAAACAAAATATTATAATTTGCTCGTATATCGTATCCAGAAATCGTAATTGCTATTTTAAAATTATTAACAACTTTAAATTTTAAAATATTGTTCTCTTTTTTTTTATTTTATTTTGTCTTGTAAAGTTTAATGGTATTATTTTTTGTCTCGTTTATCATTTTTTTTTTTTCAAACATAGTTAATGATTCATACAAACGCAGAATTTTATCGACCAAATTAAAGAAATAACTAAACATTTAATAATAAAGTGTTTTTGAATGACAAAAAAAAAATTTAACTTTATTTTTCTAAGTAAACCAGACATTATTTTTTATGACGACCTTGATTATTCTTCTTAACATAATAAAATTCTTAAATAGTTTACACAAACAAAATTTGTAAATAAATGAAGAATATAATTTTAAGTACAATAATTTATGGATTTGTTTTGAACGTATTAATGTATTAAATATGTGATAATATAAATAATTAAACCAAGGAATTTTTAATTTAGAAACCAATTTCAAAAAATGTTTACATATTAAGTTAATGAAAAATATTAACCTAGCTATAACTGAAAAATAGTAAATGTTTACTTTTCATTATATTTGAAAAATACTAAAAATGTATTATATCTGCGTGAAAAATATAAATGAAAATATACTACGATGAGCTCTTAAGAATACTTATTTGTTTTCATCGGCCATTGTTTTTTTCACATTATATTTGTGCTGCGTGAAAAGGTTTATCTAATAGTTCATTGTGGGTAGAAATTGATTTTAAGAGTTTGTATTATACCTTTTTCCAAAGGATCGTTCTAGTCTGGTCTTAGTTAGGTTCATAAATTCATAAACAACGTCTACGGTACAAATCTTATCGGAAACGGGCCAATTATTGGCTTAGTGTAATTCAATTTGAGGTAGTATATTTCTATTGATTCGAAAAACTTCTGCACTACCAAAGACAACAAAACCGATTTAGATATGTTAACAATTGTTTTTATTACAAACGCATTTCGCATATTTTACGTAAGTAAAACAATTACTATAATAGATATCGTGGTGGCGACTTTTACTATTTTTTGGACGGCATATCTACGGACTTGAGTTTTTAATAACTATCATCTCACGAACAAGACCAAATGCACATGATTATACCGCGTAATGAAGTTTTAGCTAGAACAACGGGAGATGATTGTCACTACGATAAATGTCAGTTATTATTGTTTGAAATCAGTGCTGCAATTACACACTATGGGGTTGATATGCAAATCTGAATTTGGGGCCTAAATATTTTTTTTCAAAAAAGTATTTACCTACTATAAATAAAATATGTTAACCGGTGTTTATATTATGGAAGGTAGTGGATCTTTAATTTTAAATGACTTGCATTATTTTCTGCTATTTCTGTTCTAAGAATTAGTATTACCATAGGGTTATAAATGCTTTAGCAATATAATAGTATTTATAATCAATGGTATTGCATTTGGTCCAGTGACGTAACTGGAGGGGGGAACAGGGGCATTTGCCCCCTCCCCCGATAAGTTTTTTGATGCCATATTGCAAATGAATTGTTCAGCTTAAATAATGTAAATTATAAATATTTTTAATTTTCACTGATTATAATCGTGTTTGATATCAAAAGTTTTTGATATCACTTATCAATAAAATATAAAATATCAATATTCGACCAAATTGGGATTATTGGGATTAGAAGTGATGGTCTCATATAGTCACTATTTTATAATGTGGTTATCATTGATATTAACGGATTAACATGAGTTTAAGTATTTAGTAATAATTTATAATAAAGTTTCAGATTATATTATAAGCATAAAAAATTGTGCAATTAATTTATGCCCCCCCCCCCAAAAAAAAATGTTTTACATGCCACTGATTTGGTCATTGGCAACGAGTTAGTAGTTGGGTTTATTATTTGATTATAAATATTTAATAATATGATAAATCTGTTTTTTATATTTATCAATTTACTTCAGTTGAAATGTCTACAACCAAATCCATAATAATACATCGTGTGGGGCCTATAACGGTTTGGGGGCCGATGTGCAATACACATCTTGTACACTCGGTAGTTGCGGCACTGCCCCACACGATGTATTATTATGGATTTGTTTGTAGACATTTTAACTGAAGTAAATTGATAAATATAAAAAACAGATTTATCATATTATTAAATATTTACAATCAAATAACATACCCAACTACTAACTCGTTGCCAATGGCCAAATGCAATACCATTGATTATAAATACTATAATATTGCTTAAGTATTTATAACACTATGGTAATACTAATTCTTAGAACAGAAATAGCAGAAAATAATGCAGGTCATTTAAAATTAAAGATCCACTACCTTCCATAATATAAACACCGGTTAACATATTTTATTAATAGTAGGTAAATACTTTTTTGAAAAAATATTTAGGCCCAAAATTCAGATTTGCATACCAGCCC